AACGACCCTGACGACCTTAAAACCGCGGGAAAAGATAATGCTATACTGGCACCTCGACAAACCTTGGAAATTCAGCCATAAATCAATAGGTGGCAACACTTAACTACCTTGTTTACATATACCAGCTGATGATGATGACGATAATGATGACGTCACGTATATAAACACAACACCGTCATTTATTGTGTTTATAAATGAGGAAACTTAATTTGTGTTTACGATTAGTCAAGTAAGAATGCTTACCGTGTGTGTGTGTGTGTGTGTGTGTGTGTGTGTGATTATTAATGTGAGTTTATATGAGAGAGAGAGAGAGAGAGAGAGAGAGAGAGAGAGAGAGAGAGAGAGAGAGAGAGATAAAATAAGGAAGGAGAAATATGGCTAAACAGAACAGGTAGAGACAGAGAGGGGAGGGGGGAAAGGGGAGGGGGGGGGTGTGGAGGGGGAAAGGGGAGGGAGGAGCGAGAGGAGAAGGTAGGAAGGGAGGCAGGAGGGAGGGAGGGAGGGAGGGAGGGAGTCTCTTCCTCGGACCGTCCTTCAACCCCACCTCCTTATTTCGTTTGACCGGACCCTCCCTCTCTCCCTCCCCCCTCCCTTCCTACCTTCCTCTCACCCTCTCCCCCTTCCTACCTTCCTCCCTCTCTCTCCCTTCCTCTCTCCCTCCCTCCCTCGTAACCCATCACACCTGCCTGTACCCCTCTCTCTCTCTCTCTCTTTCTCTCTATAATTTTCTTTCTCTTACAATTGATTTCTCTCTATCTCTCTGTCTTTCTCTGTCTGTCTGTCTGTCTGTCTGTCTGTCAAATCCGTACGTTGTGTTCCCGTAGACTTTTTAACAACACTGTATAACCGTTAAAATCCGTTGAGATCAGGCGACGGTTGAGGACAGTTGAAAAAACGTTAAACACCGTTAAAATTAGTTCAAAATCGCGCTGTAAAAAAACTGTCGACAGGCGTTTGAATTCAGTGTTTTCCGTTTTGAACCGTTGACGACCCTTTGAGAGTCAGGGGCAGTGGAGAGAGAGAGAGAGAGAGAGAGAGAGAGAGAGAGAGAGAGAGAGAGAGAGAGAGATGGCGCTGATGTCAAATGATTCTCTCTCTTTCTCTCTGCATGTCTGTTTGTCTCACTTTAGGCCTCTCCCTCATCCTCCCTCCCTCACCCTTCCTCCCTCACCCTTCCTCCCTCCCTCAACACTATACTCACACTATGCAAATATAATCACCCTGACCTTCTTTCACCCTTTCTCCCTATTTATCTCTTTACTCTCCCTGTCTTCCTGTTCATTGTTTCTCTCATAAGTTCTTTCTCTCTACATTTATCTTTTCCTCTTCTTTCTCTCTTTCTCTTCTTCTCTTTCTATCTCTCTTTCTTTCTTTCTTTTTTCTTCCATATATTTTCTATCGTACGTTAAATAACCTAGCCAAACCAAACCTAACCTAACCTAACCTAACCTAACCTAACCTAACCAAACCTAACCTAACCAAACCTTCCTGTTCCTTCTTCTCCTTCTCCTCCTCTTCCTACTCTTCCTCCTTTATTCCTCAGGTTGATTACATCCAGCGTTTACCTGAATGAGGGGCAGGTAATTAGTTCAGAGCGGAAGTACCTGTTAATTACTGTCTCAGGTAAGGTCAGGTATTTAATGGGTGGCTTAAAATCTGCCTTTGGGGGAGGGGGTGGGGGTAGGGGAGGGGCAGGGTGAGGGGGTGAGGGTGGGGGAGGGTGGGGGAGGGGGTGAGGGTGGGGGAGGGGTGGGGGAGGGGGTGAGGGTGGAATGAGGAGGGGGGTGTAGGAGGTGGGGGAGAGGGAGAGAATGAGGGAGAAGAGGTGATTAGAGGGAGTTAGTTACTGAATACAGAACAAGTAACTGGTGAAGATAGTTACAGTCATAGTAGTTAGAGGTTGTTAGGGAGACGTAGTTAGTGATGGTAATTAGACCCTAATGACCATCAGGGTGTTAACGATAAGTTAGTTAGGGTATGGTAATTACACGGTGACGACTTACAGGTGATTAGAGACGAGTAGTTAACCAATCGGGAATAACAACAACCTTACCGGCCATTGAACTATGGGAAATCAATCACAAGAGTGTCTAGGGTAGTTTACCTTTCACGAGGGTAGCATGGCGGCGGCTGATTGGCTAAGTGTGGTAATTACGGCACCACAACAACACGTACAGGTGAACTTAATGGCTCGGAGCACCATACAAGCGCCACAGTCTTAATGGTTCGTTAATCAAATGTTTTCCTCCTAACTGACTGACTCACTTAACCTACGATACAAAGGTGGAGAGAGAGAGAGAGAGAGAGAGAGAGAGAGAGAGAGAGAGAGAGAGAGAGAGAGAGAGAGAGAGAGAGAGAGAGTTTGTAAACATAAGGTGGTTGCATTAAAATAAAATAAAAACAATTAATAATAATAATAATAATAATAATAATAATAATAATAATAATAATAATAATAATAATAATAATAATAATAATAATAATAATAATAATAATAATAATAATAATAATAATAATAATAATAATAGGTAGTAATAATAATAATAATAATAATAATAATAATAATAATAATAATAATAATAATAATAATAATAATAATCTAATAATAGAAGCATTAATAATAGTAGTAATAATAACATTAATAAATAATAATAATAATAATAATAATAATAATAATAATAATAATAATAATAATAATAATAAAATAATACACAATAATAATAATAATAAATAATAAATCATATATAATAATAATAATAATAATAATAATAATAATAGAAGTATTAATAATAGTAGTAATACAGCGTTAGCAGTAGTCAACATTTAAAAGGTGTATACACAGCAGACAGATCAGCAAAGGTGTATACACAGACAGATCAGTAAAGGTGTACACACAGTAGACAGATCAGTAAAGGTGTATACACAGTAGACAGATCAGTAAAGTACACAGTAGACAGATCAGTAAAGGTGTATACACAGTAGACAGATCAGTAAAGGTGTATACACAGTAGACAGATCAGTAAAGGTGTATACACAGTAGACAGATCAGTAAGGTGTATACACAGTAGACAGATCAAAGGTGTATACACAGTAGACAGATCAGTAAAGGTGTATACACAGTAGACAGATCAGTTGGTGTATACACAGTAGACAGATCAAAAAGGTGTATACACAGTAGACAGATCAGCAAAGGTGTATACACAGTGACAGATCAGTAAAGGTGTATACACAGTAGACAGATCAGTAAAGGTGTATACACAGTAGACAGATCAGTAAAGGTGTATACACAGTAGACAGATCAGTAAAGGTGTATACACAGTAGACAGATCAGTAAAGGTGTATACACTGCAGACAGATCAGTAAAGGTGTACACACAGTAGACAGATCAGTGGTGTATACACAGTAGACAGATCAGTAAAGGTGTATACACAGTAGACAGATCAGCAAAGGTGTACACACAGTAGACAGATCAGTAAAGGTGTATACACAGTAGACAGATCAGTAAAGGTGTATACACAGTAGACAGATCAGTAAAGGTGTATACACAGTAGACAGATCAGTAAAGGTGTATACACAGTAGACAGATCAGTAAAGGTGTATACACAGTACAGATCAGTAAAGGTGTACACAGAGTAGACAGATCAGTAAAGGTGTATACACAGTAGACAGATCAGTAAAGGTGTACACACAGTAGACAGATCAGTAAAGGTGTATACACAGTAGACAGATCAGTAAAGTGTATACACAGTAGACAGATCAGTAAAGGTGTATACACAGTAGACAGATCAGTAAAGGTGTATACACAGTAGACTGTAAAGGTGTATACACAGTAGACAGATTCTGTGTATCACCTGTCCTGCATCTCGTCCTCACAACAAACCTTTACTCGGTCAGTGTCCAAGTGTCAAACTCTCGCTTAATGAACTACCATAACTACAATGTAGACTCTCACAGGACCAAAGTCTTCAAGAACATTACTTATACACACTTATAAGTGAGAAAGTATACAAAGAAAATACTTATAAAAGTGTTAAAGAACCAAAATAAGGCAGCACTACGGCGTGATGCAAATTTGTAAACAAAATGGCGTTTAAACGTTTAAATCCTCGTAAAGTTAATTAATTATTCAATATTATCGTAAGTGATATATGCTGATAATTAATACTTAAATGATAATATATTAAGTGTGATAAGTGATAGTAACAGTGATGGTGTTTTAAGAGAAAATAATTTGTGTTGTGAGCGATCACCTGATGGCTATGACGTCATCACCGGCGTAAACACCGCAGCTTGTGAGTACCTGACATTATTATTATTATTATTATTATTATTATTATTATTGTTATATTATTATTATTATTATTATATTATTATTATTATTATTATTATTATTATTATTATTATTATTATTATTATTATCATTATTATTATTATTATTGTTATTATTATTATTATTATTATTATTATTATTATTATTATTATTATTATTATTATTATTATTATTATTAATATTATTATTACTATTGTTTTTATAATATTTATTGTCAATATCATTATTATCACCGTCTTTCGTAAAATCATTGATAAGGATAATCCAACATCATTATACACCTGTAATTAACCCTCAAAAGGAGGCTAGATAGATTCATGGATGATAGAGAGTGGTAGTAACTCTCGACAGGAGCTGCCATGCACAGGCCAACCGGCCTATTGCAGACTCCTTATTTTCTTATGTTCTTATGTTCTTAACCCATTGGCTCCCAAGGTTTGCAAAAGGTAAACAGCTCATTGTAAACATTAACTTACCATCTCATTAGCAATAAACACCAGTAGGTGTATTTACTGTATATGCTAATTACTGGATGTCTATGCTTAACCCTCTCTACCTGTACCTGTAACTTTACAAGGGTACCTGTAGATGTACCTGGTTACCTGTACGTATTATAACAGTAAACATATATTCATAATAGCTCAGCAAGGTTAACCGTGAAACAGTTAAGTCAACATTTTAAACTTTATTACAATAATTAACAGGTGTAAACAACATGGATCAATAGGTGTAAACAATAATTAACAGGTGTAAACAATATTAGTCAACAGGTGTAAACAATAATTAACAGATGTAAATGAACATTAATCAACAAATATAAACAATAATTAACAGGTGTAAACAACATTAGCAAACATGTGTAAAAAATAATTAACAGGTGTAAACGAACATTAATTAAGAGGTATAAACAACATTGATTTGCTGCTCAAAATTCTCATCGGTAGGGGAGAGAGTTTTGTTTTGTTTTCCGAAATTTATCCACAGGTTGGACACAAGCTTTGGAAGAAGCTCACAAGCCCTGTATTAGGTTGAAAGCTGGCTGCAATTACACAGCTTTGACCTGTTGGGCAGTCAGTGGACCCATCGACAAACTGAGATGCAAAACCTTCAAGAGACGGCGGAACAACAATGGTTGGATTAGGATTTGCTGGTGAAGAGAAAAGGTTGAGGTTAGTTAAGATATTCAACAAGTTACTGGGGTCATCAGATGGTGATTCGCTGGTAATAAATCTTCCTTGACCTTCAGGCACTGGTGAGGAACTAACGCCGAGGCATAAACTAAAGGAGACGATGAAGGCGAGGCAGAGAAACCGAGTGGTGGTGGTGGTGGTGGTGCAGGAGAAGGTCATCTTGTTATTGTTGTTGTTGACGTAATTCTGTTAAGGATAGAGAGAAGGAAGGTGTTAGTTTGGGTGACTCTCTCTCTCTCTCTCTCTCTCTCTCTCTCTCTCTCTCTCTCTCTCTCTTTTTATTTCTCTTTTTATGACTATATGTCCCTCAGTGTGTGTGTGTGGAAGGACTTTAGTGTGATGCTACGTGTCACCCGTAAGTCAGGGATACATAAAGTATAAGCAAATATAAGGTATAGATACAGCAAGTATAAGTACATACAGGTACATACAGGTAGAGACTTACCTATAGGACTGTAGAAGGTGTACTGATGACAGAAAACGAGTCTAGATGCTTTTATACCTGAGTCTTTGTTATTTATATGTCACTCTCGATCAGGCGCTAACACGGTAACCCCTTATCCGTATCCCTTCACACTAACTACCTTCATCATCCACTATCTTATCTAACTCTTAACGACACATAATGTAATTGATGGCTATATTTTATTTTAAAATATCGATGATCGTAATTAATATAAACGTTTAATATTTCGTTTATATCGTTTGTAGCTTTAGAAGGGAATTACTGTAGTCGAAGTCAGGGTCGAATGCAAGAGTTGGGAATCATAACAGCGAAAGTTAGTGAACGGCTCTGTAGATTATATTACGTGTGCATGAAAGTATCCTAATTGGTATTCTGTGTTACTAATTCCATCTCCAGTTTACCTTTCACTAACTCACAAGTAAACAAGAAAGCGAACAAGAAGAACCTGTCTCTTGTGGGGACTACTAATGAGGTTATAACAGAGAACAACCTAAGTGATTTTCCTCCTCGCATTGTTTGAGTTACTTAAGTGTTGAGTATAGTAATAATTCCTTGAGGACGATAATATATTTATTTATTTGTTTATTTCTGGAGGAGAGGAGAATTTCTGACTGGCTAACGAATTTTTTTATAATATGTACAAATAATTAGTTTAATAAACACCCTAACTTGAATTTGGTCCTTAACCTAACTCTGGTCTCCAACTCATCTCAACTCAACCTAACCTAACCCAACCTGGTACCATAAGTGCTCTGGGTGTATGAAATAAAAAAATACATTGAGGTTTAATAGGCAATTAAGGCACACACAAACCCACGTACTGTATAGCATAGGTCAGGTATAAGTATAAAATATATATATAGTACAGTATAAGTATAGGTACAGGTATAAGTATAGTACAGGTATATATATACAGGTATACATAGGTAATATGTAAGTATAGGTACAGGTATAAGTATAGGTACAGGTATAAGTATAGGTACAGGTATAAGTATAGGTACAGGTATAAGTATAGGTACAGGTATAAGTATAGGTACAGGTATAAGTATAGGTACAGGTATAAGTATAGGTACAGGTATAAGTATAGGTACAGGTATAAGTATAGGTACATGTATAAGTATAGGTACAGGTATAATTACAGGTACAGGTACAGATAAATATATAACTAGTTCACCTGAAAAACAGGTAATGAGATACTTTTGGGCATTTAATCATTTAGTTCTCCGTCTGTGTCCCCCAGTACAGTCCCCCCAGTACAGTCCTCCCCAGTACAGTCCCCCAGTACAGTCCCCCAGCACAGTCCCCACAGTCCCCCCAGCACAGTCCCCCAGTACAGTCCCCCAGCACAGTCCCCCAGCACAGTCCCAGCACAGTCCCAGTACAGTCCCCAGCACAGTCCCCCCAGTACAGTCCCCCAGTACAGTCCCCCAGTACAGTCCCCCAGCACAGTCCCCCAGGCACAGTCCCCCCAGCACAGTCCCCAGTACAGTCCCCAGTACAGTCCCCAGCACAGTCCCCCCAGTACAGTCCCCCACCCAGCACAGTCCCCCCCAGACAGTCCCAGCACAGTCCCCCCAGGTACAGTCCCCCCAGCACAGTCCCCCACAGTACAGTCCCGTACAGTCCCCCCCAGGTACAGTCCCCAGTACAGTCCCACCCAGTACAGTCCCCCCACAGTACAGTCCCCCCAGCACAGTCCCCCCAGGCACAGTCCCCCAGCACAGGCCCCAGGAACAGTCCCCCCAGCACAGTCCCACCCAGCAAAGTCCCCCCAGCACAGTCCCCCAGTATAGTCCCCCAGCACAGTCCCCCCCAGCACAGTCCCCCCAGTACTGTCCCCCAGTACAGTCCCCCCAGCACAGTCCCCCCAGAACAGTCCCCCAGCACAGTCCCCAGTACAGTCCCCCAGTACAGTCCCCCCAGCACAGTCCCCCAGCACAGTCCCCCAGCACAGTCCCCCCAGTACAGTCCCCCCAGTACAGTCCCCCCCAGTACAGTCCCCAGTACAGTCCCCCAGTACAGTCCTCCCCCAGCACAGTCCCCCCAGTACAGTCCCCCAGTACAGTCCCCCAGTACAGTCCCCCAGTACAGTCCCCCAGTACAGTCCCCCCAGCACAGTCCCCCAGTACAGTCCCCCAGTACAGTCCCCCCAGTACAGTCCCCCAGTACAGTCCCCCAGTACAGTCCCTCCCCCAGCACAGTCCCCCAGTACAGTCCCCCAGTACAGTCCCCCCAGTACAGTCCCCCAGTACAGTCCCCCAGTACAGTCCCCAGCACAGCAGCGTTTAAATAACCTCTAACAGACTTAATGATGATGATGGTGATGATGATGATGATGAAGATGATGATGGTGGTGATGATGATGGTGATGATGATGACGATGAAGAGATGGTGATGATGAAGATGATGATTATGATGAAGATGATTATAATGATGATGATGATGAAGATGGTGGTGATGATGATGATGATGATGAAGATGATGATGATGATGAAGATGGGGTGATGATGATGAAGATGATGATGATGATGAAGATGGTGGTGATGATGATGATGATGATGATGATGAAGATGGTGGTGATGATGATGATGATGATGATTAAGATGGTGATGATGATGATGATGATGAAGATGATTGATGATGACGAAGATGATGATGATGATGATGATGATGATGATGATGATGATGATGATGATCAATTCGTATAATAAACAATAGTATGACAATTTATCCCTGGATCCATGATAGTCACTTTGGTTTCATTCTCTTGTTGACTCAATACCTATTGGAGTAGAGGTCAACTGAGACGAGAATAACAAGAGATCTGCTCTCAAATAGTGACACACTGAGCAGGGATCACGAGGCGTCCCTTCTCCCTCGTCTCCATTCTTTGTTTCTCTATCTTCCTTTCCTCCCTCGTCTCATCCCTCCACCTGGCGACGACTTCCACACATTATCTTATTAATATTAACACTTTATAACCATCAACATGAAGTGAAAGTTTCTTTACTTTATTTTAAGTAATAAGTGATGTTAAAAGTTTACTTAAGGTTGATATAAGGTGAGTGGAGGAAGTAAGTGTGTTAGGTGAAGTGAGAATCAAGGGGTTGGGAGGAGCTCCAGATGTTGCCTTCACTGTTTTAGTGATCAGATCATAACAAACTTGTTGATATATAAGCCAGCTTCATCTACCTGCTGTTATCAGGTGTGTCTCACCAGCCACCCAGGTGAGACGTCTCAACCCTCTCGCCACAAGTACACTCTAACTTGTACCTAACAAGTACTACAACACAAGTACACTCTAACTTGTACCTAACAAGAACTACAACATACATTCTTGTACCTAACAAGAACTACAACACAAGTACACTCTAACTTGTACCTAACAAGTACTACAACACAAGAGTACACTCTAACTTGTACCTAACAAGTACTACAACACAAGTACACTCTAACTTGTACCTAACAAGTACTACAACACAAGTACACTCTAACTTGTACCTAACAAGTACTAGCACACCTCTAACTTGTACCTAACAAGTACTACAACACAAGTACACTCTAACTTGCCTAACAAGTACTACAACACAAGTACACTCTAACTTGTACCTAACAAGTACTACAACACAAGTACACTCTAACTTGTACCTAACAAGTACTACAACACAAGTACCTCTAACTTGTACCTAACAAGTACTACAACACAAATACACTGTAACTTTGTACCTAACAAAGTACTACAACACAAGTACACTCTAACTTGTACCCTAACAAGTACTACAACACAAGTACACCTAACTTTTCTCAAGTACTACAACACAAGAACACTCTAACTTGTACCTAACAAGAACTACAACACAAGTACACTCTAACTTGCCTAACAAGTACTACAACACAAGTACACTCTAACTTGCCTAACAAGTACTACAACACACAAGTACACTCTAACTTGTGCACCCAACAAGTACTACAACACAGTACACCTAACTTGTACCCAACAAGCACTACAACACAAGAAACACCTCTAACTTGTACCTAACAAGAACTACAACAAGTAATAACTCTAACTTCAGCCCAATACCATAAGTATACCCAAACTTGTACCTAACAAGTACTACAACACAGAACACTCTAACTTGTACCTAACAAGTACTACAACGACAAAGAACACTTAACTTGTACCCAACAGTACTACAACACAAGAACACTTAACTTGTACCTGCACAAGTACTACAACACAAGTACACTCTAACTTGTACCCAATAAAGTAATTACAACACAAGTACACTCTAACTTGTACCTAACAGAACTACAACACAAGTAATAATTCTCTAACTTGTACCCCTAATAAGTACTACAACACAAGTACACTCTAACTTGTACCCCAATAAGTACTACAACACAAGTACACTCTAACTTGTAATTCAACAAGTACACAACACAAGAACACTCTAACTTGTACCCAACAAGTAATACAACACAAGTACACTCTAACTTGTACCTTCAATAAGTACTACAAACACAAGTACACACTAACTTGTACCCCACAAGAACTACAACACAAGTGCACTCTAACTTGTAAATTTCCAGGCACAAGTACTACAACACAAGTACACTCTAATCTGTACCCCAACAAGTACCACAAACACAAGTACACTCTAACTTGTACCCCAACAAGCACACAACACAAGTACACTCTAACTTGTACCCAACAAGTACTACAACACAAGGCACACTCCCCAACTTCTGTACCCAACAAGCACAACACAAGTACACTCTAACTTGTACCTAACAAGTACTACAACACAGTACACTCTAACTTTCCAATAAGTACTACAACACAAATACACCCCTCTAACTTGTACTTCCAATAAGTACTACAACACACAAGTACGCTCTAACTTGTACCTCCAATAAGTACTACAACACAAGAACACCTAATTTGTACTCAATAAGAACTACAACAACACAAGAATGACTCTAACTTGTACCTCCAATAAGTACTACAACACAAGTACACTTCCTAACTTGTAACCATCAAGTACTACAACACAAGTATCTCTAACTTGTACCCAACAAGCACTACTACTAATATAAGAACTCTAACTTGTACCCCAATAAGTACTACAACACAAGTACGCCCTAATCCTGTACCTAACAAGCACTACAACACAAGTACACCTAACTTGTACTCTACCAAGAACCACACAACACAAGAACACTTAACTCAGAATCTGTCAAGTACCACAATTGTCAAGTACACCCTTCTAACTTGTAACCCAACAAGTACACACACACACACACACACACGCACACACACACACACACACACACACACACACACACACACACACACACACACACACACACACACACACGCACACACACACACACACACACACACACACACACACACACACGCACATTGGTCAATATTGAATACACACACACACATTAAAACGTAACTAAATGTGTCATCTCTCCTTCCACCAGCCAGACCTCTAACCAACCAACCAGCCAACCAACACCACCATGAAGACCCCTGCCACTCTGACCTCCACCCTGCTGGTCTTCATCTTGGTGATCGCCCTCGCTGGACACGGGGTGTCGTCCTCCCCCCTCCCGCAGCCCAGCAACCGACAAGAACGCTTTTTTCTTCCGTTTAACTTCAACTTACCAAAATTTACAACTACCACAGCTGCTCCTGCTGTCGTTGCTCCTGGCATTACCATCACGTTTGGCAAGAAATAATAATAACATGTATTATCCCGACATCATTTGTCTTGCCACCTCGGTAAAGATGAAACAGTTAGTTGTTAGTAATTTACCTGTTTGGTTCAGTTGTTTCCATAGGTGTTAATGGAGTGACGTCAGTGTGTGTATGACTGAACATTACAAGAGGCTGCTGCTGCCGTGTAGTAACTGGTACTGTAGGCGGGGTTGTTTACACTCCCACAATTATCTTAATAAAACGTATTGTAGTTAAAAGGAACAAAATTATTCATTATTCTTACGTCAATTGTTTATCCATTTATCCTTATTCCTGAGGTTTATTGTCCCGTTAGTACAATAATTTCTCTTAACTGTTGATGTGAGAATTATTTAACTCCTTCACCCACACACACGCACACACACACACACACACACGCACACACACACACACACACACACACACACACTACTAGTACTACTTTGGTGTCACTCGGATTCGAGTATGACGATCATCCAGCTATGATACAATTATATGAGTTATTAAGGATGTCACCAAGGTTGGTGAGATCTGAGGTGACTAGAGAGACCGATACATGACTGGCAGGGTCGTCCACAGATGTTGCATGTATGGAGGGCTACATCTAGTGCGGGAGGGGTGGCGGCAGCGACTTTCCGTTGCTGGCGCATGTCTGCCTCGTCTTGCAGTCGGGCTATCTCGAAAGTAGTGACACCTCGTGTGGAATTGAAAAATTCGCGTAACTTGTGCTAATATCCAGAAGGGTCCTGACATTCCATACAGCGACCATAAGAGGTTGTATAGTTTGTTTTTGTTTTGATACGTGATTATGGTTGTGTGTTCGACTTAGTAAAGATGACCTTGCTGGGTGCGGTTGTTCAGGCAGACTAGTTCTATGGCAGTCTGTGTTTAGGGCACCTTATAGAGCCCCCTCCCCTTTCGGGGTGAGCAGAGTGGCTCGTCGGAAGGGCTGCGCAGTCGCACAGACAGGACCGAATTGTACTGCTGCCTAGATTCCAGTGCATAAACGTCCATCTAATCTATGCCGCCCATGTGCATAGTTGTGACTAGAGACTCCTGGCAATCATCTCTGCCTGTCCCCGTCACCAATCGTCCGTAGCCATAGGACTTTTGGGGGTATAAACGTTGATGATGAATAGTGTGATGAGTTGGATGATGAGTGCATGTTGAAACCACACATCTTGGTTCTAGAACATAAGAACATAAGAAAACAAGGAGTCTGCAATAGGCCTGCTGGCCTGTGTATGGCAGCTCCTGTCGAGAGTTAATACCACTCTCTATCGTTCATGAATCTATCTAGCCTCCTTTTA